TGGCAAGGGCGTCTAGTGACTACTAGGCTGGAGGATGAGAGTTTGAGTGCCGATGGGTGTTTCTGGTGGCTCACAGAGTGGAAGAACTGCCCATCACACACAATTGCTGGACTCGTCGAGCTATACGAGCAGCTATTGCCAACGCGAGTATACACGAGTCAGAAGACCCACACAAGCGGAGAAGGCGAGGTGAGGTGCAGATTATGCGGCAAGGCTCCAGAGAGTGTGGCACATATCTTGTCAGGATGCAGTGCGCTGGCCCAGAGCAAGTATCTCTCTAGACACGACGCAGCACTGAAGGTACTGTTTTACCAACTGTTGTATGATGAGGGATTTATAGACGAGATACCACCCTGGTACTCACCCGACAAGCCGAAGCCCGTGTATGAGTCAGAGAATGTTAAAGCTTATTGGGATGTCCCTATATATGCTGATCAACAAGAGGTCAGATGCAATAGGGTGGATGCACGCATTGTAAATCATATGTGCAAGAGAGTTGTGACGCTGGAAATGAGCTGCCCGTTGGTTAACAATCGGACAAGAAAGGATGAAGAGAAGACACTGAAGTACGAACCCCTTCGCTGGGAACTAAGGCAGCAGTTCCCAGGCTACGAGGTGAAGCAATATAACATCATTATGGATGCCCTCGGGGGGGAGGGGTGGTCACGGGAGTTGGATGTCATGATGCGCGAGCTGGTGGGAGGCAGAAGCACAGACGTACTGCGACAGATGCAGAGGGCAGTGCTCTCGGGCACGCTGAATATTGCCCGCACTTTCAAGGTGGCAGTTTGAATTCCTGTTAGAAGGAGGACCGTAGACACAACGGAAAGCTTTTTAGGATTAGTTAATGTCCATTTATTTTTTTACTCCATGGCTCACAGGTTACGGTTTTTGCCCTGTGCTGCCTGATTAGAATGTAGCATTCAGTTGATTTCTCTGCGACATAATAATACAAATAATAATATTTAACGAGGGAGCCCAACTCACCATAACGGTTTTCAGTGGGGCCCTCATTAACTAATTAACTAAATTAATTTAACTAATTACCTTAATTGATAAAATAATAGTAATAATAATAGCAATAAATAAGTAAAATAAATGTGTTTATAAATAAATTTAAAAAGAGAAAAAATCTTAAAATCGATAACTGATTGAAATATCAAAGTTTAAAATTAATCAGAATCTTAAAAAAGTTTTTAGCTTGGATTTAAAAATAAATAACAGATGTGTTTCTTTCAATCAGTTGGAAGACTGTTCCAGTCTTTCACAGCTTGATAGATAAATGTTTGTTTACCCCAGTTAGTTCGAGGAAGGGGTAAACGAAGATCATTGGAACTTCTTGTGTTCTATGAATGGACAGCTTGATTTTTGATAAAATTAAAGTTAAAATCAGTTTTGTCCAGTCAGACATTTGTGGATTGCAATGCAGCGATGAAAAAACCTTCTTGCGGAGAGCGACTTGATATCTAAACTCCTCAGTGCTTCGGTTGACGAGATTCGGGGTGGGTGCCCCACCAGAACTTTAGCAGCTTTATTCTGTAGGATCTGTAATTCTAACATTACAGTGTCATTATTCTTGTCCCCCCACATAACATCTCCGTAGTCAAAAGGAGGGAGGATTACGGTATTGTACAAGGTAACTCTAGTTTGTAGTGGCAATACATTCCTGATTCTCCTGATTAGGCCAATCCTTTGATTAATCTTCGTGCTGATAGCATCGTCATGATCTTCCCATGACATAGATTGGTTGAATGTCACGCCGAGGTACTTGAATGATCGTGTTCTCTCAATACAAGTGTCCTCTACTTTAATCAAAATATCTTTAATGTGATTCAGTTTCTGAGGACTTCCAAACATAACAAAATTGCATTTGGATATATTTAGAGTAAGGAGATTTCTAGAGAACCACTCAGACACTGTTCGTAAATCAGCATTGATGTGATGTTCAAGATCACTGACATTTTTGGATGAGTAATAGATTACAATATTTTCCGCGTAAAGAATAACGTCAATTGCCAGATGACAATCCGGAAGATCATTCACGTAAATAAAAAATAGCAAAGGTCCCAATTAATATACTGCCTTGGGGTACCCCAATAGGCATTTCGGTCACTGCAGAGTGAGGATCTCCAACCGATGTGATTTGTGACCCGTTAGTGAAATACGATCCAAACCACTGGGTGGTAGAACTGGTAAGACCGATGTTCGTCAGCTTTCGTAGTAGCAAGTGATGATCCACTGTATCAAAGGCCTTGGATAGGTCTAAAAAAACAGCTCCTGCAAAGGAACCAGCGTCCATATTCTCAAGAATATTGTCTTTGAAATGAGCCAAAGCTGTCCCGGTTCATAACTTCGGTCTGAAAACAAATTGTTTGGATGTAATGATCTCATTATTCTTAAGATAAGCATAGAGATGGATGTGCACGGCTTTTTCTAGGATTTTACTTATCGTTGGCAGTACAGTAATGGGTTTGTAATTGTAGCATCGCAGCGATCACCTTTCTTGAATATTGCTGTAACTTTTCCAAATTTCCAAAGGAAAGGAAAGAGACGAGTTTCACTGGAAAGACTGAATAATCTAGTTAGGCTGGCAGTGATAACTGTGGCTGAATCTTTCAGCAGACGCACACTGATGTTATCGAGGCCGATTGCTTTATTGGTTTTGAGCTGTTGTACCTCACGAATGACGAAGTCTTCCATAATTGGCTCGAAAGTAAATTCATAGGGTAGACTTGAGTTTACCATAGGTGTCGAGAAGATGTAGGACCTGTAAGACTTGAGCTTCTGCGCTAGTTTATTCCAATGGTTGAAAAATGGTCACTGAGAATCTTGGCTATAGATTTATTGCTACAGTATTGAACACCGTCGGCTTCAATGCAGGAGATGGGAGTTCTTTCTTTGCGAGACGTTCTGTCGTTAAGAGTTTTCCATAACGCTCTTGGATTAGTCTTGTTTTCGGTAATAAGCTTAGAATAGTATTCCGATTTACATCTCTTTATCTCCTTATTTATGTAATTCCTAAGTTCCTTATAGCGTGATCAATGATGGCCAGATTTTGATTTCAGGGCTTTACGATGGTAATGATCTCGTTTGTGCATAGCTTTAGATAGCCTTGCATTCATCGAAGGAGAATGGACTCCTTTAATTCTTGATTTTCTGATCGGAGCATGACTATCAGCAACCTGAGTAAAAAGTTTGTTCCAATCATCGACCGCGGAGTCAATGTCATCCTTGTTTAGTGCTTGGTCCCAGTCAATATCTCTCAAGTCATTCAGAAATTCCTCCTTTGAATAATGCTTGTTTGACCGATGTTCAATGGTTCTCCCAAGCTGGAGCCTTGGGAAGACCTGATTTCATAACACAGAAGATCAAAAATTGGTCGCTTAAAGGTAATGGAATAACGCGTCGGTCACCAACACGATGAGACGTATTAGTAAACAATAAGTCAATCAATGTTGATGATCTTTCCGTTATTCGTGTTGGTTTACTAATTAGTTGGTCTAGGCGATAAATATTTGTCACCTGGAGAAGTTTGCGCTTCTTAGCTTTATCATTATTCATCTCAGAGCATAAAAAATTTATGTTGAAATTCCCGAGAAAACAAGCTCGGTCTTCTCAGGCACAGAAGACATAGATGTATTTAAATCTTGAAAAAAAGTTTCCACGTTCAAATCAGGTGCTCTGTAGATTATCCAGATAATCAGTTTCTTGCATTTAGGCCAAGAGATTTCGATGGCACAAGATTCAGGTAGAGAAGCGCCAACATCGGGTCTGATTGGATAAGTAATACCATCTGGAAAATAGGCCATAGTACCACCGCCTGTTTTGTGAAGTCGGTCAGATCTTACGCAAGAATAACCAGGAATCTGAATTTTGTTATCTGCAATCGATGGCTTCAGCCATGTCTCCGACACTGTAAAAACATCGAAGGGCCGATTGAGTAGCCAAAGTTTCAACGAGTCCAGTTTGGGATGAATACTTCTTATATTCAGATGGGGGACTTTGGGTCCTCTGAACCGCGTAAATCTCTCACAGACAGACTTGGCGGTGCATAATAGCAATAGTCTAAATTACAAAAATTAATTTCCTTGCCATGTCCATAAAAGTTGATATCCATGGCAAATATCAAATTCAATAGTTTTAGCATTTTGTTGAAACAATCAACTCCTGAAATAACACTTGTGTGTACAGGTACAGTACAGTGTTGCTGTATAACAATTTTGATTGGACCTAAATTGTAATTATATCTTTAACAGAACCAACATTCAAAGACTTCCTACAAGCTCTGAGCAAGAAAATGGAAAAATGCTCAAATCGGCAGAGACTTGTAAGCCAGCCAGTTTTTAAAGAATTCATAGAATCAAATTCCCCAAAACTGTATAAGATCATCCTTGAGAGTATTCTCTCTGAAGGTCATCGGGAAATAAGAGCAGACCTGCAGGAGAAAAGGGCAACAGCTGTTATATGGCAGCTATTACATTACAGGTATTTTTAGTAATAGGCCACACTGGTACTTATATATGAAATCAAATTCTAATGCAGACCTCCAACTCCACTGTGCTTCCTTTCACTTCCTTGCCTAGAACTGCTTTTGGATGAACTATTTATGCATCTCTGTTCAACAATTAATGTGCATTTCTAAGTGATCAAATGTGTAAAACCAATTTGGTCCGACAATCAGAAAACAGAGACATGGTGAATTCCTGGATGAAAGTTCGATCATCTTAGAGTTGCACGGCCTCCAATCTAGTGGAATGGCTCTTAGAAAAGTGTTAGGATTTGCAAGGGATGGGAAAACTAACACCCAGAAGAGACACAGTATTGCATCTAGTCAACCGGAGAGGGCAGAAGACATGGGTTGCAAAGCAATTAAAAGAGTAATTAAAATTTGTGAAAATACGTGTCAATTTCATATATTGTTTTATACCCGGATTTTCCAACAGAAAACTCCATCCGTTGAATAATTATATTTTCTGCTTTGGCTTAGCAGAAATCCTTTCAAATACTATGCATGGTTGATTTCCACAACATCAACACAGTTAAAAAACCAACAGAGCAAATACTTACTAATGCTTTCCATATGACAACTCTTCTCAGGGATATACAGTAATCTGTGGATGCAGTTCCTCGACCGGTTGACACAGCCAGCTTTCACAGATGTGTAAGGGTTCCATCTCCTGGAAGTCCACCCCAGCTGTGCAGGAGGGATATCCACCAGAGCTGTCATAACAGAAATTAGAAGATTTTGGCCTAAATTTAGTAAAAAATTTCTTCCTTGAGAGCTTGGCCAAACCATACAAGGAAATTGATCTCTCTGTGATGCAGCAATCTTTTAAAGAGCTAAGGCAAGACAGACAACGTCTAACTATTTCACTAACAATCCAAACTGTTGCCTATAGCACAAGTGCACTTTGATGAATGAGTGTATATTTCAGCACATCAGTATACATGTATATTACTGCAGATACACTAAAGAAACCTTGAACAATCATTTATGATCATGAAGAAGGAAAAAAGAAGAGATCACCAACATCTACAATGCAAACTGGTGTAAAATTTGTGGCATTCTTGCTTAATGCAGTCCAGTCTTGGAAGAAGTATGGAAAGTGCAATGATTTGTGGACTTCATTGAATACGCAGTGTCTTATTAAGTCAGTTTGTCTGCTAAATATCTGCTTGTGCATTTAGTTAAAAAGAGTCTCTCCTACAACATACACAGGCTTGTTTTTAATCATTTAAGTTTCTAACACTGCTATCTCTTTAATAATACTTTATTGGTTATTGCAGGATTTATTCAAGAGAAAATCACGAGGAATGTCAAACCTTGAAATCAACATTACTAATTGATGAGATTGAACAGACACTGGACAGTAAGAATGACTACCAGGCTTGCCACCAGTACATTTTTGATGTAATACCAGAATTCAAAGAATTCCTTAAATCACATGTGGTTTCCACTGTGCGTGACTGGCCAACATGAACAAAAAAAGATTGTTTGCCATGCTAATATAGATCAAGAAGTTATTTCCGTAATCACTGAGTTGGGTCAGTTTCATGTGTATTTGAACCATTCAGAAGATGCAGTAAAGCAGTACTATCCCGGTTTCAAAGAGATCTATGCATCAGTGTTTAGTCAGAGGATTAGATTACCTGAAAAGCCCACGCTAGACAAAGTGGCACTGTGCATTGTGCTAGCATTTTGTGGTTAACTGAGAATCCGCACACAAGTTATTCAAACATTTGGACAATGAAAAGACACCGAATACAGTTGTCTCTTACATCTTTTTGAAGAGCTCAACCCTCTGTGTTTTCTGCATTATCCTGTAATTGTGAGAAGTGGGCAATTTCCACAGCTTGCTTCCTCTATGAAGCGTCTAGCCATCATGTTTGTAGCAATGGACAGACACCACTACAATAAGGCATCGCTTTCATGGATCAGCAATGAACAATACCAACGGGAAAACTTCCCTGCTTATCATGCTGCCAAGTCTGCTCTTTGTTCTCTTTTGAATGAGAAGAAGGTTGAGATCTTCCACTCCACTTTACGATCAAGAATACGAAAAACAGACAAGGGAGATAAAATCCAAGAAACTGCGAGGCTTATTGCAAGATCTAATTTTGAGGAAGATGAATTCGAAAAGACCTTTGTCCCACAATATCTAAGAGGATATAGTGACCAAGACTTCCTTGTACTTTCAAGTTTGTATCAGTAGAAGATCTAAAGGGCTTCTGAGAGTTTTAATTGATCCCCTTAATTCGCCTGCTTACATTTATCAATCAAAGGTTCTGTGAGCCAACTCGTGAATTGGATAAGCCAATGTAATTTGTGTCGTCAATAGAAATGGGTGTTTGATTTCCATACTAGGGTATGAATCGTTAGACTGGTAAATGAGCATTATGAGGAATATCATGTGAAACTAAATTAGGCCTCGAAGACAGAAAATATGGCCTGATTAGGATTTAGTGCAAGACAATCACTGTTCCAGATTTTACTGTAAAGGTTTGTTGAATGAAAGTTCAAAAGAGTGCTGTTTAGTTTATCATAAAACCATTGTTCCAATGTTGAGCTCAGTATTTACTTGCAATGCAAGCATAGAGATAGGCATGTAAAAGCTTATGCGCTGGATGGAACGCACGGACCTAAGGATAAGCCTATATGCATAAGATTATCAAAACGGTTCCTTTTGTTTATGCTTATACTGTCTAGTTAAGACTTGGTTAGCATAAGCGTAAGGATTAACATAAGCGAAAGACTTTCAGGCAATCAGCAAGCACTATACTGCTTATACCAACCATGTCCCTATTTAACATAACATCGACTAAGCGCTTGTGCTCATGTTTATGTTGCAGCTGTGCCCACCAGCGCATTAGCTTATGTTTTTGCCTATGCTTGTGTTGCAACTGAATACCACGCTTGAAGCCTGTTTCGTACTTCCGAGATAATTATTAGCACGAGGATGAAAACAAGTACAAGGATGTTCACACCACTCTAAAGTTTATGTTTCTCGGAATTCTTATTGTAAGTCAGTGGATACTCAAAACAAGGATTTTCCCTTAATTTGAGAGTCAATTCCTTGAAAAGTAAAGATCAAGATTTCTGCTTTTAAGAAATTATACTCTCCAATGCAAGTTCCTCAGTTTATAAAGAATACCACCATTAAAAATAATATTTACATTCCTTGTTTTAAGAATTATGACTTTGAATTCTCATTTTAAGGGTATTTCCACTATTGAATAAATATCTCAAATCCTTGCTTTTAGCAAGTATTCATTCTATGTAGAAAGATTCTTCTTCCAACTAGATTTATGATAAATACTTGCCAAAATTTCAGAAATATCTGTGGAATTGTGCTTGTCAAATTCCC